AGGTAGCTGGTCCTGGTACTCAGCCCAGTCCTCTGGTAGTTTTTAAGGTTTTCTGCGGGTGTAATGTCTATATGTGTGTGTATGTGTAAATAGGTGCATGAATTTAGAGGATTATTAAACCTGGGGAGCCAGGCAGCTTTGCTGTGGACTTCACTTGAGTGAGTATGGTATAGAAGAAAGAAATCATTTTCCTCACCTCATACGAACTGCTACTGAGAAGTGACTTTGTAAATCTCTCTCCCAAGGCGGGGTTGTAACTGCATATCTATGCAACTCTTGCACTTAGCATACTATATTTTACATACTAGCAGAGATACCTATAATATCAGCAGATTTCTGGTCTACCAAGAGCAAGGTAGTGATATATTCCAAGGTAGTGATATATTCCACTGAAATAGCTGGGGCTATTTCAGTGGCCAGAAGCATTGTTCTATTTCTACCAACATAGGAGAATAATGGGCGATGGTAGTGTTGGCATTGTTGGCAGTGGGGGTGGCATGCTAACCTTAAAGCAGAGCTGAGTGGAGATGTTAGCCCCAGAAGACTAGATATTTTGGCTCTACAGTCTGTATGGGAGAGCAATGTTCAGGACTGGACAGCATGGGCATGTGTGAGCTCTCATTGGATTATTAGAACTTTTCAGAGATGGAGGTCTTGGAGGATTGGATCACCTGTAGCCAAGTAGAAGGTGCACTGAGCACTCAGACATGGGATAACAGTGGAACTATAACATAACCATGGATGAAGAATAAGACATTATGATTAAACTAAATGAAAAGAATATTCTGGCTAACTTTTATTTGTGTATTTTTAAATTCTATTTTGCTCCCCATGTCTTGATATTCTAGTACATTTTAAATACTGTTGTCAAGATAGCTTTTGGAAAATATAATTCTCTGGCCATGTTACTAATACTTCTCATTCCCACCTCCATGCCATAAAAAAAAACAAAAACAAAAACAAAACAGCAATTAAATCTCACATTGTCTATACTATGTCTAACTATATCTAGCCTGCCAATCTCAAGCGTTCTTAAGAGGGCAGTTCAGTTCCAGGTGACTTCCTATTAGTCTCTTTCACTAAGAGGTCCAGCTAAAGCAAGTTGCCGACCATTGTTTGAACATGATCTATGTTCTCTTGGCCTTGGAATAGTGCTGTGTTCACGTTTTCCCAGTTTTTGAAGCTCCAATCCAACCAGTCCCTCAGGACCCAGATCCAATGCATACCTTCCTCACATTGCACAGTAAGACGTAACCACTTTCCTCCTCCATGTTCTTACAGTTTCTTGCATATGTTCTATTTCATCACTTCCCATGATGTGTTCTTATATTTTATAATAAGTGGTTCACCTCCACTTATTAAATACAAACCTCCTACAGGCTGTGGGTTAGCCTTAGGTAACTTCCCAGCAAGACCAGCTCTGTGTTAGGAGAAATATTTGTTCATTAAAAAAAATGAACAAGAGCCAGCAGTGGGAACATTTCTATTTTTCTGCTCCTCACCACTGCCTCAGAGAAAGCTAGGTGAGGTGTTTTGGGGTGAGAGAGAAGGGAAGAGTGACTGAGCTACCATATTTGTAGGTGACTAATGCTTTCCAAAGGAAATGAAAGATTTGCAGTTATTACTACTTTGCAAAGCTTTATTTTCCCACTTAGGGGCCAGCCCTTCAATTTTGCAATCTGAAAAGATAACAAAAAGTAAGTGCCACATGTGAGGCAGTCCCCACAGTCTTGGTAATTATTTTTAGGTCATTGTGATATGATTTCGGCAGTGAAATGTTTCCCCAGCTCAGAGTTATTGCTGTTTTTTCTGACTCATATTTGTTTCTCATGCTCTGTCTGGACTAGGCCCATATTCTTGACCTTATTCCTGCTATACTGTTTCCCTATTTGACCAACAAAATAGGCACTCCTAACAGCTGACCCACAGCCACTTCCCTAAAACATCTCCATGGATATCTACAGTTTTTGGAGCTTGTTGATGGCCATCTGTGGCCACGAGGGCCAATGGCCCCAGAGCACAGCATAAGAGTGGAGAGAGCAGGCAGCAAAGAGTCTGAGCTTCCCTAACCAGGGAGTAGGGATGCAGAGGTAGGGATGCAGTCAGTGGTGCAGCATAAAATGCCCACATACAGGTATATTTGATTTATTCTATGTATAATGGGGCCTGATGGACCAAATGCTGATTTACTACTTCATTAATGATAAGGAGGTCCAAATCCCACAGCACTTCAGTTCTTTACTTCCACTTGCTCCATTACATCACTCTACCATCCAATCCAAGAACAGCACTAGAAATGACATCATGAAAGCTCTTAGACTGTAGAGACGATGCTATACTTTTTTGCACACTCGACTCCTCCAGCATTTACCAGAGTATGTTTTGCACATACTGGGGGCTGAATAAATACCTAGCCAAATGAATACAATGGAAAGAGAACTAGATCTGGAAACAGATTTGTATTTAAGTCTCAGCTTTGATTTTCCCTGGCCATATGACCTTGGGCATATGATTTAACTCATTGAGGCTACAGGTCACCAATGTTAGATGATCTCTGAGTCTCTTTCTACCACTCACCTTTTCTAATTTTATTTGCAGCTTGATTGATATTGTCATCAGTGGGCTAACATCAAGTATCCTGAGTTATCACAAATGTCACCAACTGGTCTCCCTGTCTAATTTCCACACTTCAGCCAAAATCAGCTTTTTGATCATCTTTTTTGCAAAAGCCACACCATTTCACTCCTGTGCTTAAAATTTTTCCACAGAAAATCCCTCAGTTTAAAAGTCCAAACTTGTTGGTGTCAATTCATGATCTAGCTTTACCCTGTCCTCCAATTCAGCCACACTCTCAGTTCTTCCAGCCTTTCGCAGATGCCATTCCCTCTGCCTGAAGGTTTTTCCATGTCTCTTTTGACTTATTCTTACTCATTCTTTGGGTCTCAGCTTAGACATTACTTTCCTCATCATCCCACAGCCCCCTGTGCTTACCCCTGTTGAAGTCTCATTGTCCTGTCTTCCCAATGCGTATGCACTTTTCTCTCTCTCAGACAGTCCCAAAAGGCAGCATGGCATCTCGTACATTACTATATCCTTGGTATCCTAGCACAGTACCTAGCACTGGTGAATAATGGAATGAACACGTGATATACTCACACCTGACCCCCATTTTGTTGCACCTCTTTTTCCTAATGACCCAATTCCCTGCATTGTCAGAACACCTGTCCAGGCACTGACAAGCCAAGCCCTCTTGACCATTGCTGCTCATCTTTACAGCCACTGCAATTTGCCCTCAAATACCAGTGGCCTTATGTGCTCTTGTACCTTCTTAGTTTCTGAGGAGGAAAAGAACAAGGATCAGATTTGAGGATCGATGATCGACTTCCAAGTCCTTAGGTAGAAAAAGTTAATAGATCAAAGTACTACCTTATATGTGAACTCCAAAAGTTATACTTGACAAGAAAGAGTAAATAAGATTAAAGTCCACTCCCTACCAAAAAGTATAAGAATTCATGTGCATAATCAGCCATTTACCACTCTGCTTCTCCTTAGCACATACAACAGAAGGAAATATCTTTATGGATATATATGTATACTCTTACCCCATCCCAGGTCCCAGATATTCTGTCTTTAGGGATTTATTTGGGTTGAGCCAGATTTGGCAAATACATGGCACATATCCTACCACTCTCTATTCTCATACTATCAGCAGACGTCACTAAATGATAACACAATGTTTTTTTGGTAGGACCTCAGAATCTTCAACACAATGCTTCAGACATCAACTACCAGGTGGCCCCCAAGGAAATCTTATTTTTGAAAATGACCTTCATTAAAATGAAAGAGCCCTAGGCTGGAGAACAGTGTAGATCACTGGAATCTTGGGACAAATTCACTGAGCAAGTACTTTCTTCAAGACAGGAGGAATAAGGAAGACTTTGGGCATTCAGAGAAAGTGAGGCGCAGACATCACAGAAAGGAAACAAAGACCAGGAAGGAACCATCATCCGAGTTCTAGCACAAAGGTTACTTGCTCTAAGACTGAGGCTTTATGAAGCCCATGGAGCAGGCTCTGTGAGCCCAGGCCCTTTGGAATGTGTTCTCTTTCTAGCTTCTGTCTCTGAAACAGCAACATAAAGAATTAAACTGTTCTCCAGGTAGGGATTGGGGGATTACTCAGATTGTCATACATGAACAGTTTATGTGAGTCTAAACTAGAGAAGGAACATAATTAGCTTCTCATATGCAGACATTATGCTTGGCATTCTCCTTTCTGTAGAGCAAAAATATGGAGTGGATGAAAAGACTATAGAATGGAAAGGGGTTTTCCAGTCATTAGGTGGAAGGCTAAGCACTTTTGCTTGATTACAGATCACTGGGCAGTATTTCTGAGCATTAGTGTCCCCAGGTGGTTGAATGATGAAATCTAGGCCAGTTTCTAAAATGATTTTCATGCCACTATCTAGGCTGTTCTTCAGGTCCCTGAGCAATGCCCAAATGCCCTCTAGGAGCTTTAGTGCCAGATGTTGATGCAAATAAACCCATAATGTTACAGGCAACAGGAATGGACCAAAACTAGCATTCTCAAACCGTCAATCGTCTTTTTAGATGGAATATATTTAGATGCCTTGGTTCATTCAGCCATTCAAATATTTAATTGCAAATGGAACTAAAGATCAACATTTTCTTGGGGAAAATGTAACACGTTTAGCTTTGCAATGATTAGTTCTTCATGAGAGAGAGTGAGGACTTTGTAACTTGCTCTGTGTGTGTGTGTGTGTGTGTGTGTATGTGTTTGTGCACAACTGTGTATTCTTGTGCATATGATGTTTCCATGAGTAGCAAAAGCAAACAAGAATCTTTCTACTTAAAAATTTAGAGACGGTTAACCCCCATTAACTCAAAATAAAGACTACTCTTATAGAGCAGTGGACTTCTGGAATATCCCTTAGAGTCTCAAATAACAACTCTTAAGTTGATTTTCTCTCTGTAGTTTTTACCTGCTAATGTAAGCAAGGAAAGCAATAGTCAAAATGCTGAGTCCTTTCTTCTTCAGTGGATAGCAGTATGGTCTGAAGATGACTTCAATTAGTGAGAAGGGCAATACGCATGTGTGCTGTGGAGAAAAGGTGACAAATCATAATGTTGAGGTGACTTTGCAGCTTACAGTGCTTCTTTTCTTTTGATTTCTTAAAATTATTTGTTTATTTATTTATTTATTCATTCATTCATTCATTCATTCATTCATTTATTATTTTTTTTATGATGACATTGGTTAATGAAATCCAATAAGTTTTAGCTATATACTTTAACGGTAAGACATATATATATTTATACTGTTTGTTCACCTCCCACAGTTAGATTTATTTCTGTCACCACATATTTGACCCCCTTTACCCCATCTACCTACCCTCTACCCCTATCCACTACCCTCTTGTAATCACTAGTCCATTGTCCATGTCCTTGAGTCTCTGGTTGTCCTTATATGTAGGTTTATACCCCACATATAAGTGATATTGTGTGATTTTCAACTTTTTCTGTCTGGCATATTTAGCTTAGCATGATTATCTCAAGGTCCATCCATATTGTCACAAATGGCAGTATTTCATCTCTTCTTATGGCTGAGTAATATTCCATTGTATATATGTACCACAGCTTCTTTAGCCAAGCATCTATCATAGGACACTTTGGTTGCTTCCATGTCCTGGCCACTGTGAATAATGCAGCTAAGAACATCAGAGTGCAAATATATTTTCAGATATGGGTTTTCAAGTCTTTGGGGTCAATACCTAGTAGAGAGATTGCTGGATCATATGGTAGTTTCAATACTGTTTTTTGAGGAAACTCCATACTCTTTTCTATAGTGGCTGTACCAGTTTGCAGTCCCACCAGCAGTGTATGAGGGTTCCTTTTTCTCTGCATCCTCTCCGACATTTGTTATTAGTCGTCCTGTCAATTATAGCTATTCTAACAGGTATGAGATAGTATCTCATTGTGGATTTGATTTGCATTTCCCTAATAGCGATGTTGAGCATCTTTTCATATATTTGTTGGCCATTTGTATGTCGTCTAGGGAGAAGTTCAGGTCCTCTGCCTATTTTTTGATTGGATCATTTGTTTTTTGTTGTTATTGAGTCATATGAGTTCTTTGTACATTTTGGATATTAGGCCCTTATCAGAGGCATTGCCTGCAAATATATTTTCCCATTCGGATGGTTGTTTCTTGACCTTTTTGATGGTTTCTTTTGCTGAGCGGAACATACAGTAGAGAGAAGCAAGCGTCTTCAATAAATGGTGCTGGGAAAACTGGAA